CCCAACCCCCCCCCCCCCACCGGGCCCTGCTCTGTGTGTGATGGGGGTAGAGCCATAACCTCCCCATCGGCCCTGCCCTGAGTGTGACAGTGGCGGCGCCCCAACCCCCTGATCGGCCCTGCTCTGTGGGTGATAGAGGGCGGCGCCCCAACCCCCTGATCCACTCTGCTCTGTGTGTGACAGGGGGCGGTGCCCCCACTCCCCTATCGGCCCTACTCTGTGAGTGACAGGGGGGAGCTCCTCAACCCCCTGATCGGCCCTGCTCTGTGTGTGACAGGGTACGGAGCCCCAACCCCCTTGATGGGCCCTGCTCTGTGCGTGACAGGGGGTGACGCCGCAACTTCCCTATCGACCCTGCCTTGAGTGTGACAGGAGGCGGTGCCCAACCCCCCAATCGGCCCTACCCTGAGCGTGACTAGGGGTGGCATCGCAACCTCCCGATCCGCCCTGCTCTGTGCATGACAGGGGGCGGCGCCCCAACTCCCCAATCGGCCCTGCTCTGAGCCCGACCAGGGGCTGCACCTAGGGATTGGGCCTGCCCTCTGCCACCCGGGAGCAGGCCTAAGCCAGCAGATCATTATCTCCTGAGGGGTCCCAGACTGGGAGAGGGCACAGGACGGGCTGAGGGCCCCCTCCCCCCCAGTGCACAAATTTTTGTGCACCAGGCCTCTAGTATAATATAATATAATATAATATAATATAATATAATATAATATAATATATAGTTTGTCAACTATCCTTTAATTTAAAAAGTGCTTTACAGTCCAGAATGGGGGGAGGGAGACTAAAATCATATAAGTAAACTAAAAAAAATAAAATAAAAAATGATGCGAGTTCTCCCAATAATCCAATTCCTATCAAATCCCTAGAAAGATTGTTTTGTAGATACAGATAAGTAATTCTAAAATTTATATAGAAAGGCACTGACCTAAGAATAACTAAAATTATTTTGACAAAGAAAAATACAATAGGAAGAATCACTCTATCCTATATTAAGGTTTATTAAATAGCTACAGTAATCAAGATAATGTAGTACTGGCAGAGAGATAGACACATGGGTCAATGGAACAGAGCAGAGCCCAGAAACAGATATATATACAAGTATGGTCAAATGATTTTGACAAAGGTGCAAAAGCAATTCAGTGGAAAAAGGATGGTCTTTTCAACAAACGATGCTGAAGCAATTGGGATATCCATAGGCACACACACACAAAATGAGCCTCAACTTAAACTTCACACCTTCTACAAAATTTCACTCAAAATGGACTGGCCTCTGAGAAAGAAAAAAAAAGGATCACTGGCTTAAACGTAAAACATAAATATCTCATAAGGGATTAGATCTAGAATATATAAAGAACTCTAAAAACACCAGTAAACAAACAATTAGAAAACGGGTAAAAGACATTCAGAGACATTTCACTAAAGAAGATATACAGATGACAAACAACAAACAAGTTCATGAAAAGATCTTCACAAAGGTTAGTCATTAGGGAAATGCAAATTAAAATGACAATGAGATCACTATACACATGTCAAAATGTCTAAAATTTAAAAAAAAATAGAGATAACACTAAATACTGGCAAGGATGCAAAGAAAATGGATTCTCATGCATTGCTGGTATATAAAATAGTATAGCCACTCTGGAAAATTATTTGGCAGTTTCTTAAAACACTCAACACACAATTACCATATGATCCAGCAATTGTACTCTTGGGCATTTATCCCAGAGAAATGAAAACTTATGTTTGCATAAAACCTGTATATGAAAGTTCATAGCAATTTTTTTCATAATAGCACAAAACTGAAAATAACCCAAATGTCCTTCAACAGGTGATTTGTTTAACAAACTGCGGTACATACACACCCTTGCCACAGAAACTCTGCAATAAAATACATGCAACAACCTGGATAAATCACCACAGAATTATGCTGACTAAAAAAAGCCAATTTTAAATGGTTACTTACATACTATACAATTCATTTGTGTAATATTTTTGATATAACAAAATTTTAGAAATAGAGAACAGATTAGTGGTTGCCTGGAATTCATGGGGGGCAGGGGGGAAGGTGTTATAAAGAGAGGGATGTGGCTATAGTATAAAAGGACAACATCAGGGATCCCTGTGGTGATGGAATGGTTCAGAATCTTGACAGTGGTGGTGAATACACGTGATAAGATTGTAGAGAACTTCACACCCACACACAACTGGACAAATCTGAATGAGATTGGTGGATTGTATCAATGTCAATATCCTGGTTTTGATGTTATACTATAGTTTCACATGTTACCATCGGGGGAAGACTGAATAAAGAGTACAGGGATCTTTGTATTATTTCTTACAACTGCATGTGACTCTACAATTATCTCAATAAAAATGCCAATTTAAACAAAAGACAAAGGACAGACAACAAAATAGTTGTAATAAATAAAGTAGACAATGCCCTAGCTGGTTTGGCTCAGTGGATAGAGCGTCAGCCTGGGGACTCAAGGGTCCCAGGTTTGATTCCAGTCAAGGGCATGTACCTTGGTTGCGGGCACATACCCAGTAGGGAGTGTGCAGGAGGCGGCTGATCGATGTTTCTAACTCTCTATCCCTCTCCCTTCCTCTCTGTAAAAAATCAATAAAATATATTTTTTTTAAAAAAAGCTGTCCCTCAGTCTACTAAATAAATAAATAAATAAATAAAAAAGAATGGTAACTGACTAAGCAAACATAAGAATGCTGAATACTACACTTCCAATAGGGAAAACTTCCAACTATATATACCAATCAACACCACAGAATCTTCTCCCCAAGAGCTCAGGAACTGGTAGCACCAGATAAGTCAAGGTGGTGAGACTGATGATTTAGTATTTTAATCCTGTCCTAAGGATATTCTTTTCCCCATAGCTTTTTCAGAGGGAGTGAAAGTAAGGGAGCAGGGGAGGAAGAGGGGGAAAGAGGCAGAGGGAGAGAGGGGAGAGGGGAAGTGGGGAAAGAGGGGGAGAGAGAGAGAAACATCGATGTGAGAGACACATTGACTGGTTACCTTCCCCACAGGGGATGGTGGGGGGCAGGAAGCAAACCGAGACAGAGAATTGAACCCAAGACCCTTCGGTACATAGGCTGACACTCTAACCACTGAGTGACGCCTGTCAGGGCCTAATGATTTAGTATTAATAACACTGATCAAAAGCTGTTTAAAAAGCATTTATATCCTTAAATCCCTTTTCTCATTCAGATGCCCTCCCTAACTCAAGAGACTATAGAGGTTTATTTTCTGGAGAGGGTTAAATAGAGAATCTCTGGACTAGGGTGCTCTAGGCATAGGAAAGGGCATGAGGACCATACCTAAAATAAGGGATTAAATGTGGACTTAAGCATACTGAATACTGAAGGCCAAAACCCTAAGTCCTCTGTATT